TCAGGCTCTTCTCCAGGGAGTCCTTCCTTCTCATTAGGTGGCCAAAGGACTTGAGTTTCAACTTCAGGATCTGGCCTTCTAAAGAGCAGTCGGGGTTGATCTCCTCTAGGACTGACCGGTTGGATCGCCTTGCAGTCCAGGGGACTCGCAGGAGTCTTCTCCAGCACCAGAGTTCAAAGGCCTCCATTCTTTGGCGCTCAGCCTTTCTTATGGTCCAACTTTCACAGCCATACATTGCAACTGGGAAAACCATGGCCTTGACTATACGCACTTTTGTTGGCAGGGTGATGTCTCTGCTTTTTAGAGTAAACATATTATTTGAACCTAAAAAAATGACTTTTTTTCTTGATACAGTCGTTTGAATGCAATTTAATTATTTAATTCGATTTTAGCACAGAAACTATTTATTTATTATTGTGGTTTTTAGTATCGCCTGTTCACCGCCCTGAGTCCCGTAAGGGAGATAGGGCGGTATATAAAATAAATAAATAAATAAATAAATAAATAAATAAATAAATAAAATCTATTCCCTGTTATTTTTCTTCTGTTATTTTTTTTTTAATGATGCCAATATTTTATGAGGCAAGCCCAGGATAAAAAAAAAAATTGAATAATTTTGGCAGATAAGCCAAAACTTTGGAAACGGTTTGGGGTCTTCTCAGTCGTAGCCACTTCAGCCAGACATTGACGGGGATCATAATTTAAATTCCTCTGGCCCTCTTCCCTTTGTCGTTTATTTTGTCAAGGACTGAATGAATTCGCAAAAGAAATCTGACCTTAACGTGAGTGGATTTTGTGATCTTGAAAAGATCTTGCCTGCTCAGAGGGATCCCATCTTTAAGTAATGCATGTGCTTCAAATTCAGTTGGGAAGTGAAACATCTTGAAGGAAAAACAAAGAAAGTCCAGTTGCCTTATGAAAAAGCATCTTTGGGATAACCAGGACCTGGACGACTGAAACATTTGGGATCCAAATATTTCTCCATCCTCCTTTCCCTGCACCCCAACAGTTCAGACATACACGAATTGTCCTTGACACAAATTTGCCACGAATACCTTGTTCGTTTCTCAGCAATATATTTACCTGCAGGACATCTGAGATTTTTTATTGTCCTTTTTTATTACCAGGATCTGCCAGATTATAAAATATATATGGCATTGGTAACTTGTACTAGAAGTATCAGCCAGACCCGTCTGTTTTCTGGACTTTATTGTACATGACTTATATGTTTCTAATGCTGATGGAAATTAATTTCATTTTTATGGACGGCATTAACACAAGAGCTGGCTTAATGACATGCAAACAGCTGCCAGTTGCTGCCTTCATAAACAAATCAACACCTAACGACTGAGATGCCGGATAATTGGATTAATGTAATTAACAGTTAACTCGGAAGGTAGAAAAACGTAATTTGATTGGTTCTTGGTCCTTTGGCCTCCTGAATAGCGTTTTAAAAAGATAGCATTTATTCTAAATTCATTGAGAAAAACACCGCTTGTGCTTTGTTTCAAGAGGAAAGTGTTTGTTGTATTTAAAAACTGGAATAAGTTAAGGCTGTGTAGTAACAAACCCAGAGGGAAAATACGATTCTGACATTGACTTGATTGAATGTGAAATGAAATAAGCTATTTGTGCGTGCTTTTAGTGAACACACAATGCTGATTCTTTCTTCAAGGTCCGGTGCAACCCGTTTCCGGTGGAGTCAATGCTACTACACTGCTCAAGACGAGTGGGCATTAGACAACATTTATATAGGACAGCAATGCCCACATATGTGCAACGGGCACGGCTGGTGTGATCATGGCATCTGTAGGTATGTTTGCTGGTAGAGAAAAAGACTTTGAAATTACAGGTAGTCCTTGCCTTACCTCCACAATTGAGTCCAAAATTCCTGTTGCTAACTGAGACCGTGAGTTTCGTTCCATTTTACGACCTTTCTTGTCACAGCTATTAAGAGAATCACTGCGGTTGTTAAGTCAGTAACACGGTTGTAAAGTGAGTCTGTCCTCCCCCACTGACTTTGCTTGTGAGCCGTGGTGGCGCGGTGGTTAGAATGCAGTACTGCAGGCTACATCTGTTGACTGCTGGCTGCCGTCAGTTCTTGGGTGCGTCTAGCACAGGGGTGTCAAACTCGCAACATCACGTGACGTGTCGTGACGTATCACGCCTTTTTTTCCATTGCTGGGGCTGGGGTGGGGGCGGTTTCGGCATGATACATCCGGGCTGTGGGCCGGGAGTTTGACATCCCTGGTCTAGCGGTGTGTGGGTGAGCATTGTTGTGAACCAGCACCACACTGGAAGTGGTGCCATAGAAAATCCCGCCAAATGTGAAGACGCCAAAGGAGTAACTGCTAATGAAGTTCATGGAGCAGGGTTCGACCATCAATTCAGACATCTACTGTGAAACATTACGAAAACTCAAACGAGCCATCCATAACAAGCGTCGGGGCCTGTTGACTTCCGGTGTGGTGTTGGTTCACGACAATGCTCGCCTGCACGCCGCTAGACGCATCCAAGAATTTTTGAAGCAGTTCTGTTGGGATGTTTTTGATCACACACACACACACCCCTATAGCCCAGATTTGGCGCCGAGCGACGATGACTAAGGAATTTCAAATCTTGTAAAACATTACGACGAGGGTCTCAATTTGAAGGGCGCTTATGTCAAAAAGTAATGTCATGTTGTAGTTTTCTAATGTGTTTAATAAAAGTTCTGTATCTGCGAGTGTCTGTCCTGGATAACCGAATGAATTGCCCTCGTACATGTAAATACGTTATATGTGTTTACACCCAACGTCACTTGGATGTTCATTTGTTCGTGCCATATCAACAGCCTCACATGCCTGCAACGTGTTTGTTCTCCTCTGCAGATGTGACTCTGGATATCAAGGTACTGAGTGTCACCCTGAAAATAATCTACCTTCAACTATCATATCTGATTTTGAGAATCCGAACATTTTGGAAACAGAATGGCAGGAAGTCATTGGCGGGGAGATTGTAAAACCAGAACAAGGCTGCGGCGTGATCTCATCTGGATCCTCCCTTTATTTCAACAAGGTATATCCTTCCATCCATCCGTTGAGCAGCCTGGTGGAACCTTCAACCCCACAATCAAGAGGCTGAGAGTTCAGTTCTAGGTAGCGGCAGATATCTCTCTCTCTGGGCGCAAAGAGTAAATATCTGCTGTGAGCTTCACATAGGCGCCAGGAAGGGGATCCGGCTAGTAAATGCTCAGCTCCATTCAGTCGCCCCAACTCCACCCACATGCAAGGAATTGTAGCAGTGATGGCGGACCTTTTAGAGACCGAGTGCCCAAACTTCAACCCAAAACCCACTTATGTATTGCCGGGTGCCGGGTGGGCGTGGCCCACCAGGCGGGCGTGGCTACAGTGGTCATGGCAGATGGGTGGGCGTGGCCAGGGTGGGCATGGCCAGCTCGATGTTGCTCCTGGGGAGGGATGCCTGTGGGGGCCGGGCAGGGTTGGGGGAGATCCAGGGGTCTCTGGCAGGTGGGGCAGTGGGCAGGAGGCTGGTTCTGTGGGGTGAGGCGAGGCAGGGTGGGGGTGCCATGTTGCAGGGCAAGGTGAGGCAGGGGCCAGGGCGGCTGCTGTCTTACACCATCAGCCCCCGCACACAAAGGCCAGCAAGCACATGGGTGCTGGGATGCATCCGGCCACGTGGGACCTTAGCAAGTTAGCAGGCAGCTGGTTGAAGAGGATGGTTGCCATCTCCGGGGCATGGCGCATGTGCCCCCAGAGAGGGCTCTGAGTGCCGCCTCTGGCACGCGTGCCATAGGTTCGCCACCACTGGATTATAGGATGTGTTAAAAGGGAAAAAAACGAAAAAACCATCTATGCACCCATTGAATATAATGTGATTCAGAAGAAAGGTAGCACAACGACTTAGATCAGAGGTCACCTACCTTTCTTGGTTGGCAGACCGGAAGGAAAGACAGGGGAAGTATTTTACATGCACGTGCAAGTGCACACGCACACGGGTCTGCAAGCATGTGTGTCACACAAATGGGGCGGGGCTAGCGCTTTGCATGATACTCGCTTGTCTATCCCATTCTTGTGTGGCACAGCGCCCCAAGGCACGGCAACGGCCTGTTTTTGCACCTGCGTGGTTCGGGGTCCTGATTTCGCAACCCATGGCCGTGGCGCTAGTGCAAGTGGGTGTGTGTGCTTCTTATTCGTTTTGGTATTTTCGTATTTTATATTGTACGTTAATGAAATTAAAAAAGTGTTCAAAAAGAGGAGAAAGGGATGCTCCCTCAGAGGAGAAGGAACTAGGAGGGACTTCAAGGAGAAAAAACTGTTTTTAGGTTTTTAAGAAGAGACTGGACGGCCACTTGTCTGAAATGGTGTAGGGTTTCCTGCCTGAGCAGGGGGCTGGACTAGATGACCTCCAAGTTCCCTTCCAACTTTATGATTATTATTATCATTATCATTATTGTCATTATTATTGTCATTATTATCATTACTATTATCATCATCACCATCATCATCATCATCATCATCATCATCATTATTATTATTATTATTATTATTATTATTATTATTATTATTATGGATCATCGCACTGTCAGCCAGATGTTCAGACTGGATTTGGCATTTTTGTCTACCTATCGAGTCCTTCCCAAGGACCTGGGATAGGCAGATGTGGATGTTTGATGGTATTACAGATATCGTCGCAGGATGGAAGCAGTTCCTAGTAAGGCCGCCTTTTGCAATTGACTGATGGCGAATTTGTCAATGCCGATGATGGTGTCCAAGTGGTGCTCCAGTTGTTTTGGGATTGCACCCAAGGCGCCTATTACTATTGGTACTACCCTTGCCTGCCTTTGCCACAGTCTTTCTATTTCTATTTGTAGGTCTTTGTCTTTTGTTATCTTCTCCAGTTCTTTCTCGTCTATTCTGCTGTCTCTAGGCGCTGCCACGTCCACTATCCAGACTTTTTTGTCTTATCGACAATTGTTAAGTCCAGGGTGTTATGTGGCAGGTGCTTGTCTGTTTGAATTCTGAAGTCCCAGAGCAGGGACATTTATTTTTATTTTATTTATTTATTTATTTATTTATTTATTATTATTATTATTATTATTATTATTATTATTATTATTATTATTATTATTATTATTATTATTATTATTATTATTATTATTATTATTATTAATCATCGCACAGTCAGCCAGATGTTCAGACTGGATTTGGCATTTTGTCTACCTATCGAGTCCTTACCCAGGACCTGGGATAGGCAGATGTGGATGTTTGATGGTATT